GGCGTTATATACTTCCATATTATTCCTTTGCTTGTAAGGAAATTACTTAATTGTGATTCTTGTTTCTTGATCGTTCGATAGACTAGGTGGAATTGGCTAGCATTGTCTGATAAAATTAGTTCAGGACAGCCTCGTCGTGCTACGAATCTTCTTAACGCAGTAAGAAAACTTTCTGCAGATAAATCATCTGCTAATTCTAAATGCACTGCACGAGTTGTGAAACTTGTAAATAATGCTACCCACCTTTTCGCCATTCCAACTTCTAGCAGTGACAGGGCCTAAATAATCTAATCCGATTCGAGCAAATATTCTGGATCGTACTGTTCGGGAATCATGGTAGTCAGGCATGGGTGGCAGTTTAAACGATTTGGCTTTCTGATTGAGCTTGTCTGAGTAACAATTCAACAGCAAATTCATATTCATATGGGTTGATTTGAGCTGTGACATATTGCTTAATAACCGGGGAAATTTATCTTTGGATATTAGTTTAAGAAATTTCAAAGCTCTTACGGTAGTTCGGACCATTCGTGACCAATTGCTGAATTGAACCGATTCGCATCGACAAATCTGATTGATGTTTTGGTAATAGTTTCTTGAATCGCTGTAACTACTACTTGTTCTCCTTCTTCGTCTATGGTTTCTTCGTTATCGCTTTCTTGTTTGATATCATATTCCCAATGGGGCCAGTTTGATTCTTTCTCCTTTAGCCATTCGGGTCCATTCTACCAAAGTGTGAAATTTGCCAGATCGCTTGGTGATATTCCTTTTGTAGCTATGTCTGCTGGACTCACTTCGAATATTACACTCACTTCGAATATATCGATACGCAAATTTGGCCTTTCGTATCTCTTCGACTCGATTTTGGATGAATCTTGGTAAGAGTCGAGAATGGTTTTGTATCCAGTGCAATGCGCACCGCGAATCTGACCATAAAATCACCTGTGCATTTTCAAATTCCAATTGTTTGATAACAAATTGAGCTGCTCTTACTCCAATTAAGATTGCTAATAGTTCGAGTTTCGGTATCGTCATCGTTTTGATTGGGCCTACTCTTGACTTGGCAAAAATCAAGGACGTTGTCGGATTCTGTTTCACATAAATTGCCGCTGCATATGCTTTGATGGACGCGTCAGTGAACACGTGGATACTTGTATATTGAAATATGTTGATAACAGCGCGTGGTATCTCCTTTACGTATGTTGGCCATAGAGTTATAAGGGAATTCCACGTTTGGCTTTCATGCTCGTGTAGTGGTTAATCCCATGGTAACTTCTTTTTCCAGAGATCTTGAAGAAATAGTTTGAAGGATATCATTGTTGGAACTAAGAAACCTAATGGATCGAAATGAGAAGCTATAAACTGTAGAATTGTTTTTTAGTTAGTTTCTTATCAATCCATGGTTTTAATATTATCTCTATGACATCGTTGTGTGGATTCCAACTAATGCCAAGAATTTTTTTGACTCGGCTTACCTCTGCAAGATCGTAACTGGGTAATTGAGTATTGCAACTTTTATCGTTCGAGAAGAATTTTCTTATATTCATCGATGCCTCACTGAAGATTGATTTCACTTTATCATATTTTTTCAGAGCTTCCTCTGTCCCTTCAATCGGTATTATGATATTATCAACATATAGATTTTTTCTGATTTCATAGGGGGTTTTGCTGTGGTAGTGAACTGAGAGAAGTAATCAGCTCCGATGAGTATATCGGGGCGTTTTACGCATCTTAAACTTCTGTCTAATTGAATTTGACTCGAGATACTTGGTATGTCCAGTTGGTCTAATGGAATTACCGGCAGTGAGTTGGTTAAATATTCTATCACCTTCATTTTGAGGAATATGGTCTGGGAGTCAGTGGTTTTTACTCTAATAACCGTTGTATAGTACGGAGATGAAGTTGAGTATTTGTTGCTGAATGAGGCAATCCTCATGATTACACTTTCACCAACCTCTAATTTTAATTTTTGCGCCAATTTTTTTGAGACAAACGATGTTTGCGCACCAGTATCGAAGAGTACTATAGCTTCGCTTTGAATCTCCTGATTAACTGGATTGACAACATTGACTTTTCTGCACAGAAGTAAAACTTCTTTTTCCCTTTGATCTGTTTGGTTTTTGTTTGTAATATTGACGTTCACGGACTTGGCTTCTTCTTTATTTGATTCGTCGTGCCCTTGATACTTCTCTTCGCATAGTGCTGTGTTGTGAGGGCCTTTGCAGTAAAAACAGGAACGTTTTCTGCTTTTACAATCCGTCGTCTTGTGACTATTATCAAAGCAGTTCAAACAGGGCTTTAATTCCTTCAAACGTTTCGTCCTTTGTTTTACTGTTGAGTAAACCTGACACTCATTATCCCAATGATCTTTATTACAAAATGTGCAGGGTCTTTTTGTTTTAATTCTTTCGCCTTTGATTTGGGAATTGACCGATAATGCTGAAGTTTCATTAGGGATAAATCGTGAAAATGGTTTTGACTTACTCTTTACTGGTTCTTGATTTTTTGTCATGTTCAGGGATTGGATCCTCATTACTTCTTCACTTCTGAGCACTAGTTTCCCGAGAAATTGTCTTAGCTTATTTACTGACCATGATTCCTGTTCCTTTTGTTGATAAATCCTTTCAAGAATCCTTAAATCCTTCCATGCTGGCAGTCTGCTTTCAACTATTATTTCAATACTTGACTGCTCCAGGTTCTCGCCCATGGCTTCCAGCTGTCGCAGTATTCTTTCGATACTTTCAATTGTCACTCTCCATTCCCGATCATTCTTTTTGGTCGAGTACAGTTCATTATAGAGTGACCTCTTGATTGTATATGATTGACCAAATTTTTCGACAAGAACCGTTCTGATAACATTGTAATTTTCTGGGGTTATATCATATCCCCTTACAGCTTGTAAGGCATTACCTTTCAAACAAGCAATAAGATAATTTAATTTTTGGATATCTGGGATGTTTTGGAGGTGTATTGCAGCATCAAAGCTACTACAAAATCCTCTCCATAACTTTGGGTTACCGTCAAATATTGGTAACGGTAACTGGGGCAAATTCACTGTTGTGTGATTTGCTGATGGTATCGTTTCGTTCTGTCGAGTCAGTACTCCTTTTTCAGTGCTTTTTTCTAAGCGTTGGAGTATTAACTCTGAATCCTTTTCATACATTTTAAGAGTGATTATTACATCTTTACTATCACTAATTAATCTTAAAATACCTGTTTCATCGTCTACCATTTGTGCGTATTTTTCTTCTTCCTCTCTCCTTTTTTGCAGTGAGGAAATTTGTTGAATATACTGCTTCCACTCTTATTGGTCGTTTCGAGAGATTCCAGATATGATTCGAGGCGCATCATTTTCTCGTTGATAATTCGTTTTCTTGTTTCGTNTTGCTCTTGGATTTCTTCTGGAGTCATCATTGGATCCATTTTCTCCAAATCCATTTTTTTCATTTCTTCCAGAAGGCTTAACACCTTTTCTTTCACCGGTTGAACAGCTTTAACTATTATAGCTGACATTCCCGGCTCGTGGCACCAAATATTTGTGTTGTGACTTTTTCGTTTAGACTGAACGGGGTTTATAAGGCTGTCACACCACAACAATATAATAATTTTTTATTTTTATTGAATATGGGGACAATAGTTTAGGTAAAACGTGAGTTTAAAAAAAACTATTTATAATGCAAAGAAAAGAAAAAAAACCCACTCCCACACAGCGTTCAAAAAAAAGAAGAAAGTGACCTTTTTGATTTTTATAAACAAAATTCTCGACAAAATAGACCATGTGCGAATGGAATAGCAAATCGAGCTCCAGATCAATGCATACAAAGATGAAATGCTCTTCGTCATATTTATAAATGTAAAATTCGCCCACACTCAATAGATTATCCACTACCATTTTTCCTAGTATTTACAATATTGTTAAAATAAAATATTGTTACTTACACACATCTCGCTATATCGCTACATGGTTTGGGGCAAATTATACCAATGCAAAATCCAAAAAAAACATAGAGTGGTCTGGAAAGGTTTGAAACACAGGAGCTGCCAGGAAGTTTCTTGCCTTGATCAGTGCATTTCGCAAGGCTTCACTGATTAAATGCGCAATTGAATAAGTTAACAAGCAGTCTCATTTTCCCATTTTACTGATACAGGGCTCCAAATTAACGCGAATAAGTCATCACGATCTTGATACTTCTGCATAAATTATTAATATACGGCTAGCTTTCACAGTATTGATAATACTGTTATAAGATTTCTCGCACTGATAATGCTGTTTATTGCTACTTGCTACGTTTTGTAGTGGGTAATATCATGGGAACGCCCAGGCTATACATGAGTATGAAAGTTGGAAAAGAGTGATTTCTGTTATATACAGATATGACATCAGATTACTATGATTGTAAGAGTATGATGCTGAAATTCTTTTAATAGAATTTTTTTTAATAGAATTTTTAAAGAATTTCCACCATTAGCGGTTAAACTCGCTCCGCTGGCTTGTCGCAGTGGACAAATATGCCAGGGAATCCTATGGCGATAGATGTGCAGGTGAGTCGCTAGTATATTCCGGAGTTTTGGACAGATTTACTCCTGCGGGGAATAGAATCCTTATTATGAGCACTCCAAGTTGAGCAACAACCCACTTAGACACCCATATTTTTAAAAGAATTAGAAAAATTCTTTTTTTTTTTAATTCTATTAAAATTTCTTTTTCAAGATTTCTTGATTATACGCACCTGTAGGATTATTTTCAAGAATGCTCGAAAAAAAGCTTTTACTAATGCCATCGCAATGAAAATATTTATGGAAATATTCCGAGTTATCATGCTTACATTTGTCTGCATGTTCCTGGGCCAGCTTTTCTAACGTGCAATTCCATCTCTTCAATTCCAAAAATAGAAACGAATCATTGAAATGAAATAATTAAAATTTTAATAAGTAATAACCAATTTGTACATCTCATCACCTTTGCTGCTGGATACGTTCCATCTGATGTTGAGAACTGACCCATAGCAATTTTCGTCCGAATATCATTAAGTTTTTCAAAATATTTTCTCGACTAGTCAAAGTGATCCTCGACTCAGAGCATAAGCTACCTGATGAAAAAAAGAATAATTAAGGAATATTTTATCAAAATTCGATAATAAATAAATTAATAACAGGGCGCAAATAGGTGAAAGTTAAGGCCTATGATAATTGCTTGTAAAAAAACAAATGTAAGTCGATAAAATAGCCTATATATTGAATTTTGGATTAGAATCATTCATCAACTATTTTGGTTCTATTCTATTCTATTCTAAACTATTCTAATGATAATAGAGTCATTTAGTGATAACTTTATTAAAAGGGTTCTTTTGTTTTTCTTATTATTGCACAAAATTTATGCATATCAGAAACAATATATTTTGTACAACTGGGAAACTTCAATGAACAAAGCTATTTCAAAATAACAATTACCTAATTTCGGTTCTTCATATTCCCATCTGGCATACAAATTCTCACCGCTATAATTACGGAATTCTTGCGTTGAATGCTCGAAATCGCAATATTCAGCCCATTGTTGCGCTCTTTCTTCCAGGCCGCAGTCCCACTCCTGAATATTATTGTAGTTCATTCAGTAAGCTCAGAGCAATTAAAACGCTGTCATCAATAAAAAAATTTTGATATGATGTATCTAACCAATTCATGCACATTCGAACTTGGCATAAGCCCGTTCGATGCTTCTGCTTCAGCGTTTGCTAACTGTGAACTAAGTTTATTGTGTTCCTTTAATACATACGATCGCATTTCTTTAGTAATTTTTGAAGCAGGACATTTCGATGCCACAAGACCACCTCAATTTTACTTTGTGTTAAAAATTCCACCCTCTATTTCACTCTCGTTGAATGCGATTTTATGAATATAAAGATGATTGACAATCAAACTATTTAATAGACTTACCGAAATGGAACAAAAAAAATGCCACTGCCAATAACATATTAAAGCTTATCGACAGAATGAAAAGATTTTTTGGATTTCTAACCAATTTCCTCCCCTTATAAAGACTGATACGTGGAAAATAGAAATATACCCAAACATGCAAAAAGCTTATCGATGATAGTTTTTTTCTCTTTGGTTCATTAGTTTGAAAAAAACTGAATTTATTTTTTTCCTAGAAATAACTCTATTCCCTATGATTCTCTATTTCATGGAACAAGAAAAAAAAGGATAATTTGCATCTAAAAATTTGCTCTTTTGTGCACATAAATATTCCTATTGTTCATTTGGATTTTAGAGGCAAAATTTTTAAAATGGACTTTGAATTAAGCAGAAATTTTGCTATTTTGAAATATATTTGACTAATAAGAGTAAAAATTGATCAATTAACGTGATTGATTTAAGCAATTTACGGATGAATTCCTACCTATGAATTTTCTTAATCTCTCTATACTGACTTCACTTCGCATTTAGTGCAAAGATTTTCGAGTTTCGAAAAGTTTTGCCGCTCAATATAATATTAGTTAATTAAGGATTTTAGGTTATTTTTATTGGCTCGCGCATTTAACGTAACCGAGTGGGTTGCAGTAATTTCAGAAGACGTCTCTCTGGACAATCTTTTATATATTTTGGCAAATGTCATCGAGTTTCGCTTTATTGAAAAATTTATTTTGCAGATAGTCAACAGTATTATAGAAATGTTTAATTAATGAATTAATTAATGAAAAAATTCTGTTTCATTTTTTCCAAATAAATTCTACTTCATCTATTGAATTTTTTCTTCAATTCTCTTCTAATAATAAAATTATTTTTTATGTAATATAAGCAAATTTTGGATATGACATTTAATATCGCTTAAACTTATACATGTCCGGTTTTTTCTCCATATATATTGCATAAATAAATTTGAATGAGGAAACAAGGCGAAAAAACCGTTGAGAGCATAATACAGGAATACGAGCAAAGAACATCGAATTGCCGACCATAATAAACGTCATATTGGAAAAATTTTTAAAATAAATTTTATTTTAAAAAATTTAAAAGAAACTTTCAGAAATAAAGTAAAGTGAGAAAAAATATGATTTTTTTAAGAATTTTTTAAAAAATCGTTTTTTAATCCCTCTAATCCCTTTAGAAATCAATACACAAATAAACTTATGAGAAATTTAACAAATTAATAAATTTCATGACCTATTTATTCTTGCTTATGAATTTTAGTCTTCCTCTACTGCATTCAACTGCGCAGTAGATTAGATTACGGACGAAAAACGCTGGTCGTCAGCTCAAATCATATTGGATTATAATGTAAAGTCTTGAAAAAGCTGAAGATATAGTCCACCTTGGTGACATTAATGAATAATGCTTGATAGACTATGCACGACTGCAATAGCAAATCGAGCTCCAGTTCAGTGGCACGGCCACTGATACAAAGATGAATTGCTTTTCGCTATGAATTTTATATACATATATATATATATGTATATATATAAAATTCGGCCTCATTCATAGATTATCAGTGGTACGGCCGTTTTTCCTAGTCTTTATAATATTGTTACTGACGTAGATCATATCTCGCTATATTTTTTGTGCAAATGATGCCAAAGCTAGATATAAGCAGGACTTGGGGTGATCTGGAAGGATTTGAAATGCAAGCGTTTGCAAGAGGTGGTGTATGGCCTTGTTTAATGGAGAAAAAAGTAACTTCCCTTGCTTAAAAATACATCAGACCAATAGACTTGCAAGGCCATGACATTGGCTGCTCTTAGGATAGGCTAATTGCTACCATTTTATCGCCAAATGCTTATCCGCAATCGCGGATATATCTAAAGGTTAATCTTTTCTATCCAATCGATGTGAAAGACAAGTCTTCTGGATGAAAAGTCGCCAAAAAAAGCATTTTCATTTTTTTTCCTAATATTCTTGTTCGCATTTCCATTTACTTATAATGCGATTTGGATGCCAAAAAGTTTGAAATCGAAAAATGATTACACGTTTCATGTTCACTGCACATGGTTTATTAACAATCGAAAATTTTATTACGCATAGATTTTTGCCAATAATACTACTTAAAGATTCATTAAATAAGATTTTAATGATAAAAAACTGATCAATGCTTCGAAAAAATCAATTTCAGACTACAGAAAAAGAATTTTCAAAACTTTAGGTTAATGCAGTTTATTAACACAACTATTTAATTTAGCTTGAAAAATGCTAATTTCATCGAATTTTCTCGTTCTGATGGAATCGATGTTTTAACCATTGAACTGTTTAAACCCTTCTTTGCGGTTGAATTTCAACGCATTCCTTGTCAATTATAATTATTTTTTTTAAAGAGTCCTTACCATTATTGGTTAAACTCGTTCCACTGGCTTGTCGATTTGGGCAATATGCCAGGGAGCCCTTTGGCGATACAGGTTAGTCGCCAGCACAACCTGGATTTTTGTACAGGTTCACTATTGTCCAGCGTGGAATCGAACCTCATCATCAGCACTCCAAACTAAGAAAAACCCACTGAACCATTCTTTCCCCATAATTATAGCACATATTTTAAAAAACATTAATTAAAAATATTATTAATGCCAATTATAGTACATTTCTTACGTTCATATTCGCATCTAATCAGCGAATTTCGTGACTGGGGTGAAATTTTCAGAAAAAGAGCTTGGTTAGATTTCTTTGATTATCATATTAATGCCACATTTTTTTCCTATAAGCATCGAACATTCGAAATTCGTGTCGCAAGAAATTGCATTCGATTGAGAAGCTATCGAAATGTGATTGTCGACTAAAACAGATTTCCGTATTTATTCTGCAGTTTCTCTATTTATTTATTTATTTATGTTCTATTTATCTATTTATGTTCGAATGAATATGTAATAAACAAGAAATATTTTTATAGTAAAATAAAGTAGTTAAAAAACTCTACGAAACTTGTTTAATAAAGCAGAGAATTATGAAGATATAATGAATCTTCATTAACAGACCTAATAGACACAGTATTTCTTTGAGTATTTCTTCATTCTTCATTCCCGCATCTCTCATTAATTATTTCAATGAACCATTTTATTTTCGTAGAAAATTAAGAAATGATGAAACCACCGCTTTCTTCAATATTTTGAATTGAATCATTTATTGTTGCAATATTATATGTGTTATGATCTTATTTGCCAGTTTCTTACCTTTCCTGTAAGCAGTAAGTTATCATATTATCAAGTGGTAAGCAGTAACGCAGTTATCGATTAGGTAATAATGCATTTTATTTTATTTTATTCGCAAATACTTTTAATATTATTATAATTATATAATTATTATTATATTCTCAAATTTTATTTAGCCTTTTTAAAGCGAATTTCGTTATGGCTGAAATTATGCGAACAAAACAAGCTGAATAAGCCTAGGTGGAATAAGCTGAAAATGATTATTCTGTTTTGAAAGGAGGTTCTATAGAACGACGGAAATTTAAAAATTACATACCAGGATTAATCAAATTTTCACTCAGTTATTACGGCGAAATCCTTTCTCCGAAGAATTAATTTCCTATTAGAAATAATCAGCAAAATATTCATTCAAGCAAGAAGCACTGAAAGTATTTTGCTTGCAATAATTCCTGATTTTTTTTTGCATCCATTTCACTAAGAAAATGTGAGAATTGCAAAAATCTAAAATCTAACAGCTCATATCAAAACATTAAAAAATTGAACTAATGTGAACAAAAGCTATGAAATAATAGGTTAATCTTTGATGGCTCCAAAATTGCCGTGCGGAAATATAATTTTCCTATGCCTAATTCGCTTGCACTGTTAAAATATCGAAGTTGTGTGGAAATGTCGCATCAGAGAAACTGCCAGGAAATACGGTGGTATAAATGAGCTACGCTATGTTGCACGCAGGGCACAAAATTTATTTTTATTTAATTCTATTTTTTGGAAATTAATTCTAATTGTAATAAACGATCAAATCAGGCAATATCCACCAATTTTTACTTCGACAAATGCAAGCTAATTATCATTAAAGAATCCGAGTGGTGCTTGCAACACATCTGTAGTTCTGCCACCAAGCAATTTTGAGGTAAAAATTTCTGAACGAGTACAGTTGCTGCTAAAATTAAACACTATCGAAATATTGCTTTTTTCTAATTGAAAGAATTGGTTGTCTAATTTTTATTGAATTGAATATGATTTTTATTATTATTTATTTTTTAAATTGCGGCAATTCGAAAATCCACTTATCAAACCATTCTTTCACGAGTTGATTATGCGAAAAAAAATAACAAAAACCAGTCGTTTTTTTGAACCATGAAGATATCATAAATCAAAATTCTCCAAATCTTATGGTTAGAGATTTTTGCATGTTGAAGCCAATTGATTTCTTTTTGACTGTAATTCTATAAAATTTATTTTAATCAGATTTATCGCCATTAACTCTAAGTAAGGATTCCAATTTATATTTAAATAACTGGATAAATGAATAATAAGAAGGAAGTTGGAAATGTTCATATCAAATCAGAAAAATTTTATTTCTAACTTTAAGCTTCACTCATCGATGATATAACACGCAAAAATAGAATAATAATATATTTAAAAATACAACTAAATTTGAATGAAAGAAAAAATCTTTTTTTGTGCTTTTAGAAGATAAATGGTTTTAAAAGAAATAGTAATTCGAAACAATAAATGAAATTAATTCAATGCTTCAGAATTTTATATATTAGAAAATATATCAATATATTAGAAAAAATTGAAAACTTTATCAAATTAGAATTTGCGATCATTGTCATATCAATGAGGAAAAAAACTGGATGCGCATAAGTGAAAATAATACCAAACGCCATATTCGAAATTTATTTATATTCATTTCTATTTCTAAAGTTTCTTTATAAAAAATATTCTCGCGAAAAAAGTTAAAAAGAAAATTTCGAGATTATTTGGAAAACAATAACAAATGAAATTTTTTCACGAATGTTATTACGATATTTCCATAAACGAGGCTTTTCGATTGCCAGAAGAAAGCAAATTGAAAAATTATAGGAAATTTCTAAGATAAACCAGTGTGAAGAAGTTTCAAAAATTTGATAATTAATCTGATATTAAATTACGTAAACGAATGAGCAGAGAAAGGCAATATCTGATAACACGTGCGATTTATCCGTGAACCAATAGAAGATACGCAATACGTCGAAGAAATCAAATAGCACGAAATTTGTTGAAACCAATGAAGACAATAAATATCTTTTCAGTAAAACGAGGAATGCAATCGCCGTTAGGACAATTCATAAAGTTCATATGTAAAAATTCGTAAATCATGCGCATTTACATTACCTAATCATTGTTTATAATTTATTGCATCGATTATTTAATTATATTTATTATATTTTAAATATATTTTAAATTTGCGAAATTTAGAAATTTTCTGTTTAATTTAATAAACTTAAAAATTATGCCCCTAAATTGGAAGGAATAATTAAATTTTTCATAATTTTTCATAATAAATTTGTTCAATCAAATGTTAAATTTCTTTTTTTGTATGAAATTTTTCGTAAAATGTCGAGAAATTGTTCCTAAAAAAAAAGAATTCTATAAGTCAAAAACACCATTTTTTTTTCTTGGTTCATGAATCAAATTGAAAGAAAGTTTAACTAAAAACATTTTGGGCAATTTTTTTTGGATCTATTTCAGTTCTGTTTTCCACGCATTAAACTCTTTATAAAGGGAGAAAATCATGTCAAATCTAAAAAATCTATTCATATTGTACCGATGGGGCTCAATATGCTATTGGCAGTGGTATTTGTCTTGTTCCAAATCGGTAAGTCTCTTAATATTTCGTATTATCAATTTCTCTTAATCATCTTCACGCCATTCCCCACTGAGCAGTAGCAAAGTAAATGAGAAAAGTGAAATTTTTCAATTAATGCAAAATGAATTTGAGATGGATTTATGGCGTTAACATGTCCCGGTTCAAAAATTACTGAAGAAATGCGATCGTATGTATTAAAAGAACACAATAAGCTTAGATCGCAGTTAGCAAACGGTGAAGCAGAAGCATCGAACGGGCTTATGCCAAGAAGTTCGAACATGCATGAATTGGTTAGATAAATCATATCAAAATTTTTTTATTGACGAAAATGCAGATAACGGCGTTTCAGTTGTTCTGAGCTTACTGAATGAATTACAATAACATTCAGGAGTGGGACTGCGGCCTGGAAGAAAGAGCGCAACAGTGGGCTGAATATTGCGATTTCGAGCATTCAACGCAAGAATTCCGTAATTATAGCGGTGAGAATTTGTATGCCAGATGGGGATATGAAGAACCGAAATTAGGTAATTGTTATTTCGAAATAATTCGTTCACTGAAATTTTTTGCTCTTCCAGTTGTATAAAATATATTGTTTCTAATAAGCAGAAATTTTGTGCAATAATAACAAAAGAACCCTTTTAAAAAAGTTATCACTAAATGACTCTATTATCATTAGAACCAAAATAATTGATGAATGATTCTAATCTGAAGCTAAAACGCCTTATTGACTAAATAATTCTCTTTAGATAAAAAACAATTCGAAGATGCGATAGAAGGATGGTGGTGGGAGGAAATAAAAGACATGCCAGCGCATTCTACAATGGATGGTACTCCAGGAAGCGTTTTGCATTTCACTCAGGTTACTTTCAGAAAATTATGAGAAATTTATTGCAGTTCCATTTTACAGGCATTTTAATCTTTGATTTTGTTGTTTGCATAAAATTAGGTTAA